TGTATTTGAAATTTAGGGCCTGTTTTGCAAATGAAGTGTAGGGCCTTAAATGCAAATGAGCTGCATATCCCCGCCCTGCCTTTGGATGAGGGCTTAACTTGATACCTATGGCAGTCAGTGTAAGCAGAAGGGCTGAGAGTGAGAGACCCGCTGTTATGAATGTCATTCAGCCGGGCCGTCGCCAGAAAAAACAAACATTTCCACATTTAACTAATAGCCTATAATTTTTGTTAATCTGCATAGTTCGTCACATACACAACACAGTGCCATCTAGTGGCTTTCTTGAGTAATAGGCACAATCAACGTAATATCATTTCGTTCATCACAGTCCAAAGTAAGACTACGCCAAAACCAATTTGATTTATGACTCTACACTTCATAAACATGAGTCACAAAAGCACCTGGTTTCCACCAACAATACAGCAATAATAAAAGCAATGCATAAAATACTGCAATAAAAATTTAACAATGTAGAAGACAAATTCTCCATTCCTACCATCTCATTAGCTCCAGAGTCATCTCCACGCACGTTGTTGTTGGTCAAAGTCGTCTTTGTCAACGACGAAACTTTAAACTACTTCTTAGCATAAGCTTTTCTACAAAACCGCCAGAATTTGATTCTCGGATTGCATGCACTGCGCAGTGTGCAGCTGCGCAAACGAATTACGTATAAACAATACTGTATGCTTAACTAAATGAATTGCACAGTTTTATGATTTATTTATACTTGCATACAAACTGCATATTGTAATTTGAAGAAATAAAAATACTAACACAAAAATAGCAAATTGAAAGGTCTGCTGCTGGAGACTTGACATTGGCTGTTGAATGTGTATAATTAATGAGGTAGGTCTTTGCAAGGTTTGGGTGCTGTTTTTGGGATGTTTTAACAGTCATTTATGAAGACAATTATATTTCAAGGTACGTTCTGTCTAATAATGTGTTGAATAATGAATTTCTAAATCATTTCTGAAGATAATGTGTTATACATTCTTACCGTTGTAGAGCTTACCGTTCCTGTGAGATAAGTTCTGCGGAAACGACTAAGCTTTACTTGACGGTTATTATCAACATAAATATCTAAAATGCTTTTGAGTGGGTGGGCACGGCGAGTCGCCTTGGCGACGGGCCTGTAGAGTTGTAATCGCGTCCCCTTTGCAATTATGGATGTGCAAAACACACACACAGACACACACAAACACTAATGTTGCCGCAATTTTTTGAAACTACAAACACATACTGTGATAAAGTTTGCTACGTACAAGCAAAATTACATTTATGCGAGGGACCTGTTGCGTCATGTTTACGTTACTTGTCATACAGGTGCTTTTGTGGCAAATGTGAGAAGATGTCTAACTTACAGAACAAGAACATATATGCAGTTTTTATTACAATATCTTTAAAAATATATATATTTATAAACGTGTGGTTAGACACAGACATCCTACGACGACAACGACTTTAGACGCATTTGTTGTTGAATTGGCTGACATCGACTGAAATGACTATTTGCTCAAAAATCATAAAATACACTTACTGTTACTGGAGGTGTCAGTGGATCGCAAACAGTAGACGATGATCCACACTTGAGGATTAACTTTGAAGCAAGACATGCTTTGAATTGACCCTCGTTCACAAAACAGTCAGTCAGAAAATTATTCGCTCAAACTTATTTACGAAGGAAAGGCGCCACTTAAACTTCCAAAATACAATACAGCCACTGTGTTTTCAGTGGCTCTGATGTCAGAAATAAGTGAAAACTACTATGTATTCACTTATGTATACACTATGTATTCACTTACTATGTACTAATGTTTCGAAGAGACATTACCGGCTGTCGTTGAAACAATGGAGGATGGTGTACAGATCACCGAGGGCGGGGTCTATGCCACAACCACTCTGTCAATCAAACCCCTTGCTCAATTCTACGTCACAAAGCGCTGAATCTTAGAACAGCTCGTTCTGAGACAGTGCTTATGATTTATTGAGATTGTAAAAAAACCACTGGGTGGATTTTTATCATTCTAGGGTGGTTTTGCTCACACACTGCCAACACATATTTATGTTCAAACACCATGTAAAGGTGAATTTTTCATAATAGGTGCCCTTTAATATACATTTTTTCACTCCTTTTGTTTTTTAATTAATATTAAGAAAATTATGAATGATAATAACTAAAGTTAATTTCATCTACACCCTAAATTAAGTTTAGTGATTTATTGTCAGCCCCAGGGCTACCAGATTTTTATTTTTTATTTATTTTTTTATTTTTTTGTAGAACTCAGTGCGAGTTCTCATTTGAGGTGGTGCTGCCCTCAAATTTGAGTCTGGAGCCCTGTGAACTTAAAATAAAACTGCATATCGTTATATCTGTACGTTAAAGCCACACCATGCAATCTCAGATTTTTTTGTAAAACAGTGACCTCTAGAGCCTCTGTGGTGTACTTGCACTGTCGCAAATAACCGGTATTCCCCTGTTACTGCATATCTACTGAACTACTGTCAAGTGTTAGACTGCTTTTTAATAATAAAGTTGCCTATCGCGTTTGCTGGCTTATAACGTTTTTACATGATTTCTTTACATTCATTTTCTTTACATTTTCTTTGATTCATTTACATGAATCAGAAGTAAATAGCCTATAGTGTTTGGACTACTGTATAATTTTATTTATGTTTTTTGATTGTAATGTAAACATTACAAAATGTCAGATGACATCAATAAAGTTTAATGTACGTCGCATTATTTCATAACATTGGCCGTTATGATTTCATTAGACATGATTATTACAATTTATCATAATAGCAAATTGTGTACAATTATTTACAACCTCTAGGCTTATATAAGTCCTAATAATTATGAGATATTGACTATGTCCTCATGATATTCGCAAGAATCAATATCAACAGCGTCAAGATTTAATTGATTCATAATCAAAACAATTTGAAGTAAAGTTACAGTCGGGAAGTGCACTGTTAGTCAGGTAAAATTTATATAACAGTAACTTACGCACGCCATAAGAAATCCGAATCAGACATAGGACTAAAGTTACGTGATAAATACACATCACAACACCTGAGTTCAGCTGACTAGCTCTTGTGGCAAGCTCGGCAATAAAACATAACGAAAAAAAACAACAAGACTAAGAGAAACGACTGTTTGTTAGGAAGTTTGCTTACAGCTCTGGTAATCGAAAGCTAGCTAGACGTGTGGGAATTATTGAACTGGTCTAATTATCAACAACGGATGAATGAACAGCACCGTAAAAAATGACATACCACAAGCCAGCGCAGCAACATACAACATAGTACGCAAACAAGTTTACAAATAAGAGATTTACTTACAAGTTCATCACAAGATCGCCAGGTCAGCATCGCAGTTACAATCCAGTGCTGCTTTTAACAAATGAAGTATATTAAATTTTACATTACATCAGGGTCTCCCAGACTGGAGTTCATGATGGAACTATGGGGTTTGTGAGTTTAATGAAAAGCTAATAGAAAGTTGCTTAATTAAATCATAAAAAAGAATTTTAAAATAAAAAATATCAAAATAAAACGCTTACAAAAAAAATCTGCAAATGCAGTGATCAAATGCTGTGTGGATCTCAGCTTTCAGTGATAGGCACATGACTTGTGACTGATCTGTTTGCAATTCCACAAACCTGGAAGACCTGAATCATATATAAGCAGCAGTAGGGTTTAATTGAAAGGAAAGTTCAAAATAACAAAGTTGTAGAATCAATGAATTATGAATAATTTACTGTCATTGTGAGAACAATGTAATCAATAGAAACTTAACTGTAGTCTGATTTTGAGTATTATATAATCTAATTACAAGGACTTAATTTTTGGAATGTGATTATGTAACCCAGATTACTTGTAATCAGTGACTACCCAACAGTGCATAATGCATGCATCAACAGCGCATCACTAGGGTTGGGTATCGAGAATCGAGTATCGATTGGAACCGAGACTGACTTTTCGTTTTTCCCGGAATCGTTCAATATGGAATGCCAAAGCTGACTTAATTAAAAATAAATATATACATAAATAAATATACGAAGAAATGTAAAAAAGCAAAAATACAAAAATAAATACATAAATAAATATACAAAGAAATGTAAAAAAGTACAAATAAATGAGTATTTATACTTTTATTTCCATATTTATGTATAATTGTATTTTTTCACACATTTATTTATTTATTTCTACATTTATTCATTTATTTATTTCCACTTTTATTTATTTCCACATTCATTTATGTATTTATGTTTTTATGTCTACATTTATTTATTTTCACATTTATTTATTTCTACATTTATTTATTTCCACATTTAATTATTTCCACATTTATTTATTCCAACATTTCTTCCTCCGTATTCTAATGAGGGGGGCGTGTTTTAACACAGACATCAGCAATCGACCTCAGAATGGCAGTGCTGAAGCTTTGTCGGCCACAGTGACACCTTGTGGTGCAGGCAATATCACATTTTAAGTCATGTTTATCACCCTAACTGCCTATGTAGGGTAGGCTACATTAAAACACATAGCACACATGAACAGAAACTGCACTTCAACGGGTCTGATAGCAGATACTTGGACATGAAAGCACGTGAAAGTATTCACTATAACAATGTAAATGCGGTGGATAGGGCTTTGTTTGGCTTGCGTTTATTGTCGATGAGACTCGCGCACAAAACGCGACTTAAAACGCAGTTTACATTCGTTTCCTTATTTTGTATGCATAACTGCGTAAGGAAACGCGAATGTAAACCGCGCATTGAGTCACGTTTTGTGTGCGAGATGCTGCTCTCTTAGACACTGATTAATCACAAGGCACCAATTTTGAATTATTCTTAAATTAAACAATCATGGGGCATGTAATCGAGTGAGCCTCGCATCTCACGCCATGCAATCTGTATTAAGATTTTGACTTTTAATGACTTATTGACTTTTGATCATTTTATTTTACTGATAACAGTCATAGTGCCTTATAGAGGTCTGCACCCCCGCGGGACCCGCGGGTCGCGACGCAAAACAGTGCGGCGCGGGAGAAATTTTGAAAGGTCAATGCGGGAGCGGGCGGGATGATGAGGTGCACTTGCGGGTGCGGTCGTGAGGGATGATGCGCTGCACTCCCGCAAATTAAATATGAGTGTAAAATAAAATATATAAATGATTAAAGTAGCGTACATAATTTGTAGTTGTGAGGGAGATTCTGATTGGCAGCAATAAAAACGTTTTAAGCAGCCTAAACTTGTGAATATTGTCGGGTAGGGCGGGGCATAATCTCACGCACAGTCGCACACTTGTTTAGAGACAATTCCTTCCCGCTGCTCCGTGTTTGAATTCGAAAGCTAGTTCAAGTTCAAAATAGACAGCATGGACGAGGAACAGAGCGCCTCTAGTGCTTCAGATAGAGGCCTAAGCGCTTCAGATGTAAGTTACGTTACTTCTCTAAAGTACTTGTGGTAGGCACACAGGCTATTTCATTTTAACACCTGCACTGAGCGGCTCAAAGCCCACATAGTTTTTTAGTCACAATGTTTTAGTTCACAGGAACATGTGACAGGAACATTATCTGCTTCTTTTACCTTTATTTTGATCATTTTCATTTAGACATGCTGGTAGCGACCTGCTGAGTTTTTTTTTCTTCTTCTTCTTCTTATTATTCATATTATTCTATTCATATTCATATTCATATTATTATATTATTATTATTAAAATTAAAAGGTAGGCACACAGGCTATTTTCAGTTTAACACCTGCACTGAGCGGCTCAAAGCCCAAATAGTTTTTTAGTCGCAATGTTTCATGGCTAGCCTATAATGTGACAGGAGCATTATCGAATTATATATATTAGATAGATAATAATATTACCTAATCGAATATATATATTTTTTTTTTGTTACATGTTAAGCCTAATGAAATTTCGGCCGATTAATGTCATCTTTGTTGGCGTTCGTTACTGATGCCTGTTTAATGTTTTGTATGGTTGATTATGCAGGCTTACCAATAAATATGTTACCAAGTATTGGTAAGGAATTTTGTGAGCACGCATTTTTTTTCCCCAGGGCCAAGACCTTTCGTCAGAAAGTGCGGGCGGGAGCGGGACATTATATCACAGATGCGGGCGGGAGCGGGACTAAAAATGACAAATCTTTGCGGGAGCGGGACTGAACACTGCGGGAGTGGGCGGGAGCGGGTCTGAAAATTGTGTCCCGCGCAGGTCTCTAGTGCCTTATTATTATAATAACTGAGTAGTTTATCGATTAATATTAAGAACTTGACATATATGATGATGTAGCTAAGCCTACCTATTTAATAAGGTTTGGGGAGATATAATATCAATTATAGGGGGAAATATCACCAGGACCATGGGCACGACCGGTGCTGTTTGAATGGGCATATGATTCTTCTGTGCTCCATGGCGTGAGATGTAGCTCACTGCGTTTACATGAGCCCCTTTTGTTTGATTTAAGAATAATTCAAAATGTATGACTTTATCAGTAGATCAGTAGCTATCTAAGAGCAGCATCCATGTTGGTTGCGTTTTAAACATTTGAATTGTCACCTGTTATGCATACAAAATGAGGAAACGCGACTGTAAACCACTGAGTCGCGTTTCAAACTGATCAGTATGCTTGCGTAGGAGTCAGTGAAATGTGCGCTGGTTTCTCTCCGCGTTCTGCGCTGGTGTGCAAGTCTTATCGACAATAAACCCAAGCCAAACGCAAGCTATCAGCTATTCACCGCATGTTATTAATAGTGGATATACTTTCACACACTTTCATGTCCATTGTCCAAGTATCTGCTATCAGACCCGTTGAAGACAGTTTCTGTTCATGTGCGCTATAGTTTACCTTATATAGCCTACCCTACATAGGCTACAGTTAAAGGCTATTTTAGCCGGCGGCGGCCATATAGGTCTTTAAGGGTTAAAGGCTACCTTTAGGGTGATACAAATGACTTAAATGTGATATTGCCTGCACAGCTCTTGCGTTTCGTTTGGTCAAACACCACAAGGTGTCACTGTGGCCTCAAAGCTTCAGCACTGCCACTCTGAGCTCGATTGCTTACGTCTGAGTTAAAACACGCCCCCCTCATTAACATACGGAGAAAGAAATGTTGGAATAAATAAATGTGGAAATAATTAAATGTGGAAATAAATAAATGTGAAAATAAATAAATGTAGACATAAAAACATAAATACATAAATGAATGTGGAAATAAATAAAAGTGGAAATAAATAAATGAATAAATGTAGAAATAAATAAATAAATGTGTGAAAAAATACAATTATACATAAATATGGAAATAAAACTATAAATACTCATTTATTTGTACTTTTTTTACATTTCTTCGTATATTTATTTATGTATTTATTTTTGTATTTTTGCTTTTTTACATTTCTTCGTATTTTTATTTATGTATATATTTATTTTTAATTAAGTCAGCTTTGGCATTCCATAGTTCAAAAGTTCAAATTTCGATTCCTAGTTTCGATATTCACAGTCTGCCGAGCAGAAGAAGAAAACGCTGAACAACACCAACGAAGAAGCGTCTACCGGAAGTGTTGGCATAACCGCGCGAGTCGAACATGAGTAGCTTACGTCAGCGGTCCAAAGTGTGGCTTCACTTTACTAAAAATAACGAAATCTCGGCAAAATGCAAAATTTGTGACAAAAGGATTATTTCCTTCAGAAAGACCGTTGGTTAGCAAGGTTAGCTAAACTTTTTTTGACCCTGCCTCTTAAAAGAATCGGAATCGAGAATCGTTAGGAACCGGAATCGAAACCAGGGATCGGAATCGGAATCAGAATCGTTCAAATTCAAACGATACCCAACCCTACGCATCACAGCATGTGCAATGTCCATAGGGATCGTAGTTGATACGTGATCCGTAAAGTCCAGGCACCATGATTCGAAACCGCATGTGATTCTCAAATGAATTGCAAGTTTAACCATAATAGAGTGAACGTTTATCATCAGCACATGTTTTAGGGCATGCCAGTTTAAAAATTCAAGCGATTTTAACCTATCCGAGCACACAAAGATGCGAAAGAGAACTGTTTTCTGTGCACACACAGCACGCAAACATAGAATTCCATTCTCTTTCTCGTCTATTTGTGTTTGAATGGACAAATACATGCTAAATTAAATCAAAATGTCTGTCTTCGAGTATCCTCATAAACTCAGTCGCTTATGGCTTACATAAGCAATTGAGAAATATGCATCCGGTTTCTAATTATATTGGGTCAGTGCATTAGCACTTAAAGTGACAGCAGGTTAATATACTGTCTAAATGAGTCCTTTATAATTAATCTTTAAAGGTGCCCTCTGGGATAAAAAATCAAATCATACACCATATTCCATACCAGATGGGGGTAGGATACCTCCAGAAAAATACCTCCGCGGCCGCGCGCACTCATGTCTTCAAACAACACGGGCGAGCGGGTCTCCCACGCGCATATTAGTCAGTAAAACTAATAGTAAAAGGTTGGAAGACCGCAGTTTCACGTGGATCATTTGGAGATTTTCAGAGATTAGAGACTAAATGAACAACATCTCAATACTAAATTATTAAGGCCGTCTCATAGACAAGCCGGTGCATTTCGACGATATGGGAAAATGAAAGCCCAGGCATTTTTAATTTATGGTATTCGTTTTGCTCATGTTACATTTTTTATCATTAGTTTGAATTAATTTGACAGACAGCATTCCCTGATGTGGACCAAGCTAGCGCCTTTCAGAGCTGCCAACTCTCACAAATTCACCGTGAGACACACAACTTTTCACACACTCTCATGCCACATCCATTTTGTCATGCACAGAAAAGGACACAGAGACCGATCTCAGCTCTCAGATTCTGTTCATTTTATTACGCAATTCAAACAATAAATGCAGTTTTGGCGCTTGTAAATGTTAGACGACAGATCCCTAGCGCATGTGAACCGATCATCTCTAATGGTAAAAGAACACAAACACTGTTGAAAGATATGTTACAACTTACCAAAATGTATTCCTCATGCATAATATCGACCAATCATTTATTTAACTCATCCCTGAACTGAAATTTAGTAGTGGGCTGTATTTCCACACGACATCACGACATGACATCAGGTTCAAGTTTGTTCAAGTACACACAAGCCGGCGCGACTTACTCGTGGTTACTGCAGTTTGGCTGGTGGTAAGGTTGCCCGCCCGCATACCGCCTCCCATGGCCGAAACTGGTATTACGACACCTGCCGGGTCGGGGCTAATAATTTAACATGCTAATTTAGGTTATATCTTGGCAGCACTATAACTTGTCAGTTTTTTAATGACATCATTGCACTTATTTCTTCTCATTCTTTTGATGTGTGTAGCTCATTTTTTGGATATTTTTACCTCAATTATTCCATATGGCACCTTTAAAAATGTGATTTTGTTTGATTAACATTTTTTTCATTTATACGCCGAAGACTATAACAATATTCAGATACAGAAATATATTAATCAAATTTAAAATAACACTGCAGACTTGATCTGATGAAATTCATCTGGTGAAACAGTTTTCATATCGCAATATAGCAGAAAAACTAAATATCGCAATGTCATTTTTTTCTGATATTGTGCAGCACTATTATTGATTTTAAACTTATTTCTGAAAGTTTTAGTGAGTGTGCATTTGTGTGTATCTTAGGTGCGGGTTCTGGAGAAGACAGTGATGTTCTCAGCATCAATGCAGAAATTGACGACAGTGACATTGAGGGTCATAAAGTCATCAAAGCTGAAGAATCCGTGATCAGAGATGAAACTCTGCCTCTCGCCCCAGTCATGCAGTCAGCTGAGCCGAAAATGGTGCTTCAGCAGGACATTGATAGAAGCGTCAGTGAAATTCTGGCTCTGACGTCCTCTGAACCCAGCAAAGATTTGAGGACCGAATCACTGGATAAATCAGCCACGATAGAAAATGCTCCGGCAGCTCCAACAGAGCAGCCGTCTGCTCAACAGCTGGAATTACTGGAGCTGGAAATGAGGGCAAGAGCCATTAAAGCGCTCATGAAAGCAAGTGAGATCAAGAAGCACAATAACTGCTAATTTGTAGAAAGCCATAGACATTACATTTTTACTTAACTTCATAATTGCTTTAAAATGATTCTCTTTTTGTCCCTAAACACGTTCAGTCCCTAAAATGTCAGTACATGATGGCTTTAGACCCACTTTGAGAAAATGTGTTAATTTTGATAAAATAAACTGTTTTGTTCTTTGAAGTGAAGCAAAATAATAAGTATGCCAATGAAGCACTGTTACACATACCTAGCCTAGCATACTTGTTTCCTTTAAGAAATGTTTATTATGCTGTATTTGTTCATATAACAACTTACAAACGAGAAATGCAACGGACAGTTCAACATCAAGAATGAGTAACATTTGAAATTCCAAAACACAAATGATAACGAGCACAAACGAGAGTATGTGCTCGTTTTATAGTCCTTTGACAGGAATTGTTATAGTTGATAAACTACACAGTGGTGCTTGAATGTTTGTGAACCCTTTAGCTTATCTATATTTCTGTATAAATATGACCCAAAACATCAGGGCCCATATTCATAAAGATTCAAACAATCCTCTCAGAAAACTCTTAATTTAGTTTAAAGAGCCCCTATCATGGATTTTTTTAAATGACTATTCATATGGTGTGGAATATAGCTCTAAGGGAATGAAAACATCCTGCAAAGATTTATAACCGAAAGTGCACCGTATATAAAGTTACTTTCTTTCAAAAGTGAGAGTCGACTCTCTGAGTCTATGAAATGAATTGTTTTTGAAACGAGTCATTAGCTGTTACATCGTGACGTAGAGAGGTCATTGGCCGCGCCCAGTTACTGCGCGCGCAGACGGAAGTGTAAACTTGAAGTCAACACATTCAAATACTTCATCATAGCATCATGTCGAGAAGACGCTGTGTTCTACAATGCAAAGATAGTTCAGCCACTTTGTTTTCATTTACAAAGGGGCGAGCATGTGAAGAATCGGTGGTTAGAGTTCATATTTGCAACGATACCACAACAGTATAGTTCTCATCCTTTTTAATTACGACTCGTTCAAAAGCATAAATGAATTCAAATGTGGATTCGCAAGCGGTTGTTCCTGAAGGAGCTAGGGCTCAGTAACTTACTTACCCAGTGTATATGGATCAGCTTCCTCCTATGAATCACAACCTGTAAGTATTATTAATAATTGTTGCTTTTATGGGTTTTGAACGGTTTTGTAGCGTCGGGCGCGAGGAGGGAAGGCGCAATAAGTATGTGTGTGTGTGCGCAAGTTACGCTCAGCGCAGCTTCTAGGTCTCCAATGTCAATTTTTTTTAAATATGTGAAATGTTTGTCGCTGTTATTGGAGTTGTCATAAAGAATAGATCGTCTTGTAGTACTGCAGTGCTTTATCAATATGTGTTATGCTAACAAACAATAACTGACTGGGTCCGTCATCTGACCAATCACCACCGATTAGCGTCACGCAAAGGAGTGGTTTGGAAAAATGAGTCGTTGTATGAATCATTTGGGAGTCGGTGAGCAAATCAGTTAAAAATAAATACATATTATAAGACAAATAAAGTGTTTTTTATCCTTGCATGCATGTTAGACTGTTTTTGGGAACTCCTAAAACAAAAATAGGAACATTTTAATTTAAATGCTATGATAGGGGCTCTTTAAAAACTTTTATGTTGGAGTCTTAGCTTAAGAGCGATTCGGGACCGATCTGAGAGCAACTCTGAGTAAGGAAAAGACAAAAACTTTCATCTTAGGGAGGAGGCGGGGTTGACCCCGTTGAAATCATGTATGACACAATCTTGTAAAGACTGATTGGTTGGTTGTCCAAGAAGGGAAAAAAGAGTGATACTTCACTTTGAAATTACTTGCATAAATTTTCCTATTTTACCATTCTCTCTCTCTCACACACACACATTAAATAAGTGTATATAAATCCTTTTTTATTTACCATGCTGTTAATTTCCTATAAGGTATTTGATTGGCTTAGAATGAAACAAATTATTCCACTCTTTCCAATTGCACTGACAGCTGGCATGTCTATTAAATGGTGGTTTGAATGTTGGTTTTAATGTAACAAACATGGAATCAAAACTAAGAAGGACGAGAAAGCCCGACTGGACAGAGGAACAGTGTTTTACTGTTAGCCCAGTTAGTGGATGAACACAAGGTCATCCTTAAAGGAACATTCGGGCCAGGAGTCAATCTATAACGTCTTATTAACTCAGTGTCATCCATTGTCTGCAACACATTTCTTCTCCCTCTTCATCTTTCTGCCATTTTTTCCTCTGCTAAAGAAACTCTTTAGCCTCTTAAAAGTCCTCGTCCGTACTCCTAACAATTTTGACCTGAATACCTCTTTTAAGGGTTACTCTTTGAATTATTCTTTTAGGATACTCTTTGAATTACTTTTTTCTTTACTCTGATTTTTTTTCTTTAATTGTAAGTGTAAACGTCCACATTTCTAAGAATTTTCTTAGAATTTTGTCAGAGCTACTCTTTGCATTAAGATTCTTTATGAATACGGGCCCAGATTTCCAGTCCAAAAAGTAAGCCGAGAACCCAATCAAACAAATGAGACAATATGGTAACACTTTATTTCGATAGTCCACTTTAGACATTCTACTAACTATAATTAACTTTTCAACTACATGTCAACTAACTGTCATTAGAGTATTAGTAGACTGTCAGCTTAATTTATTTTGTTGGTCCCCCAACAGACATTCAACTGACTGTAAGTAACTTGGCAACTACAAGTAAACTTATTCTCCTAACCCAAAGCCTAACACCTAACCATAACCTAACAGTCTACTGACAGTCTACTATAATATACTAATACTCTAATGAGAGTTAGTTGACATGTAGTTGATAAGTTACTTATATTTAAGAGAACGTCTAAAGTGACTGTCGAAATAAAGAGTAACCGACAATTATATCATTTGTCATTTATTTATGATGAATTATCACTAATTTCAATAATAGTTATTTCGGTTTTCTCCAGATTTGCAAGGACTTTATGATTTGGGACCCTTTATAAGTAAAAAAACAAAACAAAAACAAATCTCATACATCAAATCTCTTCAACAAAAATACAAGAAAATTCATCAGTGATCTCTAAGGTGATGTTCAGTCTAGATATGATTTTCACTGCACTCAAAGCGCTTTACATATAGAAGGGGGGAAATCTCCTCAAACACCACCTATGTGCAGCATCCACCTGGATGATGTGACGGCAGCCATATTGTGCCAGAATGCGCACACACACACACACACACACACACACACACACACACCAGCTTCATTGATGGAGAGGAGACAGAGTAATGAGGTCAAACAGTATGAATTATATGGGGATGATAAGGAGGTCATGATAATGGACAGAGACCAATGGGTAAATTTGTCCAGAATGCCCTTTGAAAAAGAGTAGAGGTGTAACATAAATTCAATCTTTAAAACACACATTAAAACATAAGTAAAGATTTTTTGACAATTGTATTGAATCCAATTACGCTGTATCCAGAATTCAAACAGTGCACAAGGGTTAAAATACATCAAAAGCATGTTTGATCTATCAATTGTAAATTGTTCACTCATTATGCTAACTTAACAGAATCAATTAGTTTTAAAATTGATGATTTTAAATTAGATTTAAATTACCAGTCTAACCTACGCTACATATGCTTACCTAAAATATGTAAGATTAATTGGTTACAGGGCCACCACTCCATTTAAATTATTTCCTTCTAACTCAATCTAGTTTGTGTGCTGAACAATTTCATCAAAAGTTGTTATAACAAAAAGATTGAAGTTAACAATTGCGTTATATTTATTAGTATTTTTCTTGATCCAAAACATTTGTTTTTAGAGTGTATTCTGTGGACTGGCCAGAAAAATGCTCAATACATTAACAAAAAAACAACAAAAAAAACCCTTACAGACCAACATCCTTTCCGAATGTAAGTTTTTGTTTTTATTTAAAAAAACAAACAAAACAATTAAACAATAAAGAACACATACAACCCATTTATTTCACTTAGTTATAATTGAAACACTTCAAAAACAAAACGGTACAACAATATTCACACACAAATGAAAATCCAATGATGTCCTTACATCTTTTTTTTTAAACAATTGATTCCTCTCTCGATAAGTCAGGTGTGGTCAACATAAGCCAGGTGCCGGTCAAGGCTCTTTAGAGTCTTGCAGCATTTCCCACAAAGGCTACACTTGAACGGACTCTCTCCGGCATGAGAACGCCAATGGATGCGTAACTTTCTCCAGTGTTTGAACCTCTTGCCACATTGAGTGCAGCTGTACGGTCTCCTTAAATGTAGTTTCTTGTGCTGACGGAGGGTTTTGCGTAAGATGAAGGTCTTGGAACAGAGCGAGCAGCTGTAGGGTTTCTCGCCAGTGTGGAAGCGTTTGTGCCTTCTTAGGGTTCTCTTGTAGATAAAGAATTTGTTACAGATACTGCAAACATGCAGTTGTCTAGGCTGGCCGATGGTTCTTTGCAGTATTTCAGCCTTCTGGAGTTGTACAAAGCAAGGTCTTAAACACCCCCTATGTTGAGGCATCAAAGAGCGATTGGGCATTTGACAGTTGTCCAGCTTCTGCAAAGGTTCAAGCCTTTCCTGATGGCTCTGAGGTATCTGGCTTCGTACAGTGCCAAAAACCCCGAAAGAAGACTGATTCCAGTGAAGACATGAATCCTCTCGTTGAAAAGAGGTGCTCTGGTCTAACTCTACTGGTTCATGAAGCTCACCATCTTCAGGCTTCAGCTGAGCTTGAGTATTTTCACCTGAGATCTGGCACACTTGCGTCTCCGCTCGACACCCATTTTCTAGTTCTTCTTTTTCTTCAATCGTCACAGCGACATCTTCATTTTCCTGTTTAATGACTTGTTCGGGCTCTGGTTCAGTCTTGCCCGATGTTTCTGGCTGATGATGAACAGTTGGCGGCCCTTCTTCAGGCTTTCGGACAGGTATGTTGGGAGTCTCCAGAAATGTCTGCTTTTCATTGTCATTTATGGATTCTGTAGTTTGTATCATCATATTTTCTACAATGGCTATCTGTATGTCATCCTGATTTATCTGTGCTGTTAATATAGGAGATGACACCTGCACTGGATACGGATTGAGAATTTTCAGGGTGTTGGACTGGTTTTGTTCTCCTTCTGGTTGTTTAGATTCCCTGTGCATCAACTGCAATGGAGTGACTGTGTCACTACATTGAAATCTCATTAATAGCTGGGACTCTTCAGATTCCACTCTGACTTCACTGTCCTGCTGAAATTACAGGACAAAAGACAATTAAAATGGAAGAAAATCATATACTATGATGATGCAATTATTGTGCAATCAAACATAATGGATAAAGTAGTTCAATCAGATGCAAAGAGCACAAAGATTTCACTTGACCTTTATGACTGTTGACGGTACAATATTATTTCAATTAGATTGGGTAAAAAACAACAACAATGCAGACTGTGCAAAGTCAAGTATTATTTAAGCCAGACTGTGTGAAAAAAAAGATTTAAAAAATCTGCTTTTTGCCATATAATTGATGCCATAAAATAACAATTATTGGTTTCCGAAAGAACTTTTCATTGAACAATATCTTATAAATAAAGGTCCTTTATTGGCATTGATGGATCCATGAAGAACCTTTAGCATTCATTGAACCTTTTTAATGAAAAAAAGGTACTTTATAGTGAATAAAGATTATTAAAATGTTTTACACTAACTTACTTCTTTTAACGACTGATCATCACTGAAAAAAATGGCTCTTCTATCTATGGCATCACTATGGGACTTTTGCACTTTAGTTATAGGAAATCTGTTAAAGAAACTTGCCACCAGGATGTTCCCCGATAACTAAAGATAACCCCGATAACTCATTTTCCTGGTTGCATTGACACCACTAGGAGGAACTCTAAAGTGATGTAAGCCAGTTGATAGTGACATCATTTAACTGTGGTACGTCAACAACTTGGGGATGGATGAGTGATAGGTTGAGATGTGCCTGGACTTCAGGGTTCGTGAAGTTAGTTCATGGAGTAGGCATATGTAAACAGTGTTAACATAGCTTTTTAAAAATGGTGGGTGGTGGTGTTTCACATGGCATGCCTTCGGCTATTCAATGTACACTTACACGTCACTGGTAGTTCCTATTGACTGTTGGCAAAAGCCACGCCCCCTAGTTATTGTTACTACACCCGTCAAACAAATTAGGCGGCGAGCTACATAGGCCTACCCCCCCCCCCCCACCTCCCAACAAAACCATACTTTTTTGAAAGGTCTGGATGTGTAGAATATGAATCTGAATGTTAACATTGAAAATTTTGGGTTGCACTACCTGTTTTAGGCCTGTGAATAGGGAAACCCTAAAAACGTTTTTAAGCGATTTTAACATTTCAAGATTGGCCTAGTCAATCAGAAAAGCTTTTAAGGGACCCAATACACACTCAAACTTAACATATGATGACTTAGGTCAAATATCTACCATGCTGCTTATTGGTAGGTGTCTAAAATTAACATAGTTAAGGCTTTATGTTGACATAATGAGCCCATTTCATGCATAGGCCATGACCATTCGCCTATCATACACCCCAACCCCCTCCCCTGACAAAATCATGCTTTTCTGAAAGGTCTAGATGTGTAGAATATTAATCTGAATGTTAACATTGACATTTTGGGGATGCACTACCTGTTTTAGCCCTAAATAGGGAAACTCTAAAAAAACGATTTTAAGCTATTTTAACATGTTGAGATTGGCCTAGTCAATCAGAACAGCTTTTAGGTTACCCAATACTCTTACTACACTACATTGATAGTTACTTTAAATAGTTGTTTTTAATTATTTTTTATTTAATATAGTTAAGGCCTTGTATGGATATAATCGATCAAGGTCCATTTCTATAGTATCAGTCAACATGCTAACATTCTAACCCTCATTACCCTTTCCATCAAAGGTGTATGGCTCACAAATCATTTCATTGACAAATCAGAAACCTGTCTGGGTTGTTCATCCAATGACAAAATAAGATATTTGTTGAATTTTCATTAATAGTTTCCTCTGTGTCAGACAGGTATATATAAAGATTGTCCTGAAAGACTGTTCTTATTTTAGTATGCGGTGTAAACGCAGTAAGCAAGCGGTCTGGGGAAAAAAAAAGTTCCTGTGAAAAAAGTTCCTGGTAATTGCGGTGGAAACGCGGCTATAGACTGTAAAGTATATAGCACAAACATACCTTATTGTCATTGCTATCAAGCTGATTACTGGCACATTGATCACCTGCAAAACAAGAATTTCAAAAATATTTAACATATGTAATTTTTACATAATTATATAAATTTGATTAAATTTAATTTATATTTTAAAAATATATAAAAATTCATTTATGTTTCATTTTATTTTATTGAAGCCCTTGAATTCACTCAGATTTCAGTAATGATCAATCATAGAAAGCAGCAGTTCACCCCAAAATGAAAGTTCAACCATTACTCACTCACCATAAGCAATATGACCTTTAAAAATGGAAAGAAAAGTTTGCGAGATAACAGTAAGGTGACCTTCTTCAAACAAAATCATAAATTCAGAAAACAACACTGTGATGCTAACTGCTTCTGTTTTATCTTTCACCTTTTTCTGAATAATGTGCATGATTTGTATGATCTTAGAACTGTGCATTTCTGACATATGGACATTACATAGATTACTCTAAATTGTAATATAGACATGGATTTTAAGTAAAGCTGCTTTGAATCTATATGCATCGAGTATGACTTGCGAAAAGCTCTCTACAAATAAATGTGAATAGATTGAATTGAATGAGTCTATAGATTTTTAAAATATGGGTGACTAGCAGTTTTTTTGTGAATTTCTCTGCCCATATCCTCAATCAAGTATCCCTTCTTTTTTACCTTCAATCCCCATATAGCATAATTTACTGTGTGAATGTTTCTTAAACAGAAAAACACAACATACCATTTTTTCATTATTATTTGTCAAAATGCTGGGAAGCATTTTGAAATATCAGTAAATGATGAAACATGCAAGAGACACTCACTACAGTAGTATTTGCATAAATTACACAATTTGACAACTTTTTCATGTTTTCTTCTGTTTTTTATGTGTGAAGATTACTAACACTTCATTGACTCATTTGACTTTGTGAATACCCAAATTATGTGCATGCTTACTAATTATACAAAGAAACAGGTCATTCGTTTCCAATTTGAGATGGTTTAGATACATGTTTTATTAAATATTTTGGTATGATCTGAGCTTGTTTTTCTACATGTAAAATGGTTTGCATGTTATTTTATTGTTTTGATTGGTGTTGTTTTTACAAGTTTTGTACAGCACAATGGTAAGCGGCAGTTTAATTGTGCTATAAATAAACAAAGTCAAATACGATTTACATGTACAAACTAAGCATCACGGAACACACACACACACACAAAAACCTGATATAGCATAAATAGTTTTAGTATGCTCTTCTGAATTCAGTTTTATTGCCCACACAGTGAAAGTTGGGGTGTCACATTGTTTTTGACCCTTTTAACTTTTACTGGATGGACAAAAACAACCAAAAACATTCTATGTTCCGCAAAAGAAACACAGTCATTACTTACAGGTTTAAAATTACAACACAGTGAGTAAATAATGCCATAATTTTATTTTGAGGTGAACTATCATAGGCACTGGCTTTTGTTTGCTTATTTATTGTTAACGTTACCTGTTGGAAATTTTAACACAGTTTATAATTTCCTTTTTTTATTATTATTATTATTAAATAATAATAATAGGACATTTCAGTTTAACCATAGTTCCTACTACATTCGATAACACAATCACATACATTCACAACAGTCAAAAATGAATAAACCACTTTTGAAAAGTTTTTGTTTGTCAGGATGGCACTTACAGTGGCTTAGGCACATGCTGTCTGCGAAACTCTCTCTATAAGCTTCTGTAATTTCAACCAGCAAGACATCAAGAAATGAGCCGAACAAAGATTTCACCCGCTCTTGAAAAACACTCAACGCTCTGACATCTGTCATATCTACCAACAGGTGAAAACACTATAAAAACTTGATCAAATGTGCACACACACTAAGGCACTTAACGAAATAAAAAGCCGAGAGTTTTGGACCAAACGTTTGAAACTGCGTTCTTCGTCACGATGTTGGCGTGTAAATCATGACCATAGATTTACGCACGCACCTTCGTGTGTAGTGTTTGCGATTTGCTTCATTCTTCTTCTTCAATGGTGGTTGGCATACATCTTTGTTCATTACCGCCACCATCTGTTCCGGAGCGTGGATCAATCAAACCTTGCACACCGGTATGCTTCGAAACTTATACGTATTATAAGTATTATATACGTATATACGTATTATAACCATGATGCATTCAATTATGTAATCAGTTTATTGATTGATATATTTAATTTAGCATACCAAGTCTGCATTATTTCCCTGATGGTTTACTTCATATTTGAATCTTTCTCTTCTATTAATTACTCTGTTTCGAATGACAGTGAGCATGTAACAAATATAACTATTCTGTGGGGGCGATGATCATTGTGATACTATTTTTTTTTTTTTTTTTTTTTTTTTTTACTTTTTAATTATATTGATGTCAAATTAAAACGTAAAATGTATACATTTTTGGACGTTTTAATTTGACTAAAAAGTAAAAAAAAGTGGTTAATAGACTCTGATTGGCCTGTTAGAGTGAGCCATTGGTGAAACAAACAAAAAAAAATCCTGAAAATTGATCAAATGACACTTATAGGCCTATAAAGTTGACATTATTGATATCTAATCCTAGATGATGATTGCATTGGATAGATTTCACTTTCAATAAAACTTTTTGAATGTTTGCCCTGGGTGTTTTTTTTTTTTTTTTTTTTTTTTTTTGCATTTACACAGTTCTGACCAGGAGGGGTCACCAGAGTGTTGCGATTCGAATGCAGCTTCATTTCTCCCGTCACCAATAATACTCTGCTAATAATACGTCCGGTCACGTGGTACAAAACAAGTCTCTTTATTGGTTAACGTAATTAGTCAGCACTGGATTGCCAGCCCAGAACGCAACAGGCATTGTAGTTTATATTTATATTAACACGCACGCACAGTTATATTGTTTTGCAATTCTGTGTTTAAAGTAGTTTTTAACAATGTCGTAACTGAGAGTTGTTTAAAATTCTGGTTGCGGAAATGCAAGAGACTGGGAGGACAGGGAAATAAACGCGACAGCTCTTCCTAACAAAAAGAGAAAAAAATCACGAATTATCCACAGTTCCAGAACACCGGTGGCTTAACACGACAAACAATTTTGGTACGTATAGTTTACGCGGTTGTAGAAGATTCACAAATGTTTGTACAAGTGTATCAGTAGTTGTTACATTAACGTTAATATGATAAATAAGTAACTCACGCAACAAGTGGAAAGACAGTCTGTACAGATTATTTTAGTTAACACCTCAAAAAACGCAAGGGTCAATAAGATAATTAAACAAATTGGGACTAATAAACAGAGCCTTGCTTTCAGTCAGTGCTAGTTTCCTTTAGTCTCGGGTCATTTTTTTTGTTTGTTTTTGTTTATTTAAATAATTTACTTTAGTGTTTGTTATACTAACGCATGTTCAGTAAGGGACTAGAACACGGGGGAACCAACAGAATAGTGTGTATTGTGACTGATTGAATGAATTAGTACATGTGAATGTGATTTTCTTTGTGCACTGCACGTCAGGTTTTCCAGGTTTGTGTGAGAGCTTTATGTCACTTGGGTCAGGACAATAATTTACGCATGAACAAGACAGTAACAACGATAAACGGTGTTAAATTATGTATAATTATTGAAGAGCCACATGTTGACCCATATGTAGATCCAGAACACCGACGAGCAGGCTAATAAACCTCGTCCAAAACAGCTTGTTTTATTGCGATGATATTTTGTCCAGCCACCACCTGACCTGTTCAAACTTAATTTAACTTTTTTTTTTCTCCAGCGGAAGATAAGGGATATTCTGGTGGACTGGAGAGGCGTTGCTGAGATATATCCTCATAGGGTACGTTGTGGTTAATGCTTGTATTAATTAATTTTTTACTAAATGACTAAAATGTAAAAAAAAATTGTGTGTGTGTGTGTGCGCGCCCGCACTCCTTTTGTGTGTGTGAAAAAAAAATAATGTTTGTATAAGAGAAAATGCATCTATATTATGATTATTATAATTTATTAACACACACGCATATATATATATATATATATATATATATATATATCCCACTTTGATAGTATCTTTAAAGGCTTGTGGTGGAGCTCATTGTTATAAAGGAGTGGGACATTGTCAATCAAAGCACACTGGGTCAATCAAAGCTCACTGGGCCAGCTAATCAAACACAGCACATTTTGTATTTTGAAAGGAGGAGCTTCAGCGTGTTCACCCTGACTGGGGAGAAATGAGCTGTTATACTGTAAAAATATGTGTAAAAGAATGCATTGTTTTTAACAATCAAGCATGAAAACATATTGGAGTACACCCCCAAAACAAAATCAAGGGCAGAATAGGACCCCTTTAAATGTGGAATTGTTCATTTTAATAACTGCTTGTAATTTGATAATTTGAATAATTTGATTATTGCTATGCTTTCATAGCCTTTTCATAGACAATCATATTCGTAAGAAGAGTTTAAAAATATAACACAATGTGGATTTAAAATAACATGATGTCATTTTTGGACTACTCCTTTATAAACCTATGTATCAACAATCCAAATTTGGCAAAGATAGGTTGCAAACTGTAATGTCAAATGTTAACTTTAGACGTATGCTATATTTTACAGTCCAACTCCCCAGAGTCCTTCTCACAGTTCTAGTTATGGCGACATCTGCTGGAGAGAGCAGCATTTTAGAGGAAGAGTTGACCTGTCCAGTGTGCTTGGACGTATACCGCGATCCCCACCTGCTGCCCTGCGGTCATAACTTCTGTCTGCCATGCCTGCGGAGGCTCAAGAACCGCTCAGATCACGGCCGCTTGCGATGTCCGGAGTGCCGACAGAGTCACCGCAGCTCTGCCAACTGGCAGAAGAACTTCAAACTGGCCAACATTGCTGATGGTTTCCGCCGTCGTTGCCAGTCAGTTCACTCCAACCAGATCCGGGGTGAACCGTTTCACGGACCTGCTGAGGAGGTACACTGTGATTACTGTCCAGTGGATGGCAGTGGAGATGGGAAAGGTCCCATGGCGGTTAAAACCTGCCTGAAGTGTGAAGTGTCCATGTGCGCAAAGCATGTTCAGCCTCATTTGGAGCTCCCGGCTTTCCGAGAGCACCCGCTGGTGGAGCCGCTTAATGACATGAAGAAGAGGAAGTGTTTGGAACATGATGAGATGTTTCGGTACTATTGCATGGATGAGCGCTTGTTCCTCTGTAATGCCTGCACCATAGAAGGAACGCACAATGGACACTGCATCAAAACGCTGAAGAACACCATGAAAGATTTCAAGGTAGGTCTGACGTGTCAAGGCCCATTCAATCTTCTGACATTAGTTAGCACAGAAGATGATATTTGGTTTGAGTATTCCAAAGATGGCCAAGTACGGTTTACAATTGCTATTAAATGGGGTCTAAAATGTTTTTGAGCTATTCCACTTTCAACCTCTTCCAGTTGTCAAAAACGCATTCTGTAAGAGTCGAATGCTTTTGAACAGAACAGGACAAGACCGCCTACTTGCATTTACATTTATTCATTTAGCAGACGCTTTATTCCAAAGCGACCTACAAATGAAAACAATAGAAGCAGTTAAACTAACAGAAGGACAACAAACGTAAGTGCTATGACCTATCTGTTTAATGCAGTTCTTTTCTTTTAAGAATAGAATAGAATAGAAAAGAGAAAGTGTTAGTATTACTGGATCAAGTGCTGTCGAAAAATATACGTCTTCAGTAGTTTTCTTGAAAGTGGCTACTGACTAAGTAGCTCTGGTTGAGTTAGGCAGCTCATTCCACCAACAGGGAACAGTTATGGTTAAGGTCCAAGAAAAAGATTTTGTGCCTCTTTGAGATGGTACCACAAGACAACATTCGCTAGCAGAGTGCAAGTTTCTGGATGGCACGTAAGTCTGAAGTTGTGAGTTTAGGTAAGAGGGAGCAGTGCCAGTGGTTGTTCTGTAGGCAAATGTCTGACTTTAATTTAATTTGAGCGGCAACTGGCAACCAGTGCAATTTTGTGAGGATTTTCGGCTCATTAAAGACCGTTCTGGCTGCAGCATTCTGGATCAGTTGTAGAGTTTTGAAAGAGCAAGCTGAAAGACCAGCCAGGAAACATTACTATAGTCCAGTCTGGATAGAACAAGCACTTGGACAAGGGAGTTGTGATTCATGCTCTGTTTGGAAGGGCCTAATGTCTTGCAAGGCAAATCTGCAGGACCGGGCAGTACTAGCAATGTGGTCTGTGAAGTTCAATTGATCATCATCATTACAACCCCAAGGTTCCTACCCTAGTTAAGCCTTGTTTATACTCGACGCGTCCGCAAGAGCGCGAGTCTCCGCTGCCTGCGCGCGCACCTCTCCAAACGGACGAGGCATTTATACTTGACGCGCTCGCCGTTGTGCTATTCTGTGAAACGACAGGGGGCGAACTCGGAGTAATTCTCCTCTAAACCACCAGGAATCAGCAGTAAAGAAGTAGTTTGCCGTTTATTAGTAGTATTAATTGCTAATTCATAAAAGAGTAAATGCAGTAGGTTTATTGTAGCCTACTTTCATTGCATGTAAACTAGTTAAACAACTGAAGCCTTGTTGGAGAGTGTTTAAACCTTAATTTTACCAGCAGGGCTTAATTCTGCTATTGTAGGCTTATTTTGTAGATGTAATCAATTACAAACCGAATTCCATAAAAGTTGGGACACTGTACAAATTGTGAATAAAAACAGAATGCAATGATGTGGAAGTTTCAAATTTTAATATTATATTTAGAATACAACATAGATGACATATCAAATGTTTAAACTGAGAAAATGCATAATTTTAAGGGAAACATAAGTTGATTTTAAATTTCATGGCATCAACACATCTCAAAAAAGTTGGGACAAGGCCATTTTTACCACTGCGTGGCATCCCCTCTTCTTTTAATAACAGTCTGCAAACGTGTGGGGACTGAGGAGACAAGTTGCTCAAGTTTAGGAATAGGAATGTTGTCCCATTCTTGTCTAATAAAGGCTTCTAGCTGCTCTGTCTTAGGTCTTCTTTGTTGCATCTTCCTCTTTATGATGCGCCAAATGTTTTCTATGGGTGAAAGATCTGGACTGCAGGCTGGCCATTTCAGTACCCAGATCCTTCTTCTACGCAGCCATGATGTTGTAATTGATGCAGTATGTGGTTTGGCATTGTCTTGTTGGAAAATACAAGGTCTTCCCTGAAAGAGACGATGTCTGGATGGGAGCATATGTTGTTCTAGAACTTGGATATACCTTTTAGCATTGATGGTGCCTTTCCAGATGTGTAAGCTGCCCATGCCACACGCACTCATGCAACCCCATACCATCAGAGATGCAGGCTTCTGAACTGAGCGCTGATAACAACTTGGGTTGTCCATGTCCTCTTTAGTCCGGATGACATGGCGTCCCAGTTTTCCAAAAACAACTTCGAATTTTGATTCGTCTGACCACAGAACAGTTTTCCACTTTGCTAGAGTCCACTTTAAATGAGCCTTGGCCCAGAGAAAACGCCTGCGCTTCTGGTTCCCATTGAGATATGGCTTCTTTTTTGACCTATAGAGTTTTAGCCGGCAACGGTGAATGGCACGGTGGATTGTGTTCACTGACAATGTTTTCTGGAAGTATTCTTGAGCCCATGTTGTGATTTCCATTACAGTAGCATTCCTGTGTGTGATGCAGTGCCGTCTAAGGGCCCGAAGATCACGGGCATTCAGTATGGTTTTCCGGCCTTGACCCTTGATGATGGTAGATGATGATAACTTCAAACTCTTTGCAATTTTTCTCTGAGAAACTCCTTTCTGATATTGCTCCACTATTTTTTGCCTCAGCATTGGGGGAATTGGTGATCCTCTGCCCATCTTGACTTCTGAGAGACACTGCCACTGTGAGAGGCTCTTTTTATACCCAATCATGTTGCCAATTGACCTAATAAGTTGAAAATTGGTCCTCCAGCTGTTCCTTATATGTACATTTAACTTTTCTGGCCTCTTATTGCTACCTGTCCCAACTTTTTTGGAATTTGTAGCTCTCATGAAATCCAAAAGGAGGCAATATTTGGCATGGCAATTCAAAATGTCTCACTTTCAACATTTGATATGTCATTTATATTCTATTGTGAATAAAATATAAGTTTATGAGATTTCTAAATTATTCCATTCTTTTTTTACTCACAATTTGTACAGTGTCCCAACTTTTTTGGAATCGGGTTTGTACTTTAGACAAGTGCGAACTAGGTGCTTAATGCAAATGTGTTGTTCACAAAATGAGATGTTGTGGTCGCCCATCAATGCAAATGTCTCGGTGTATAGAAGGATCATAAACATGCTGGTACAGATCGTACCACCAGTTCGACCAGATTCAGCTCGTAGTCGTCCATCTTCGGATGCGGCGCCGCGCGCAAAGTTACAAAAAGTGCCGTGCACACCGCCAGGCGCAATGGGGTCTTGCGGAACCTACGCGCACGACCGCCCACACCGCAATGACGCCATTTTTGGCACGCGCCCTTCACGCTCTTGCGGACGCGTCGAGTATAAACAAGGCTTTAGCCTTGATGAATGATGAGCCTAGCTAAATGAAGAAGTTGTGATAGTTTTAGGTTGGCCAGGATCACAAATTGCTCTGTCTTTGCAAGGTTTAGTTGAAGGTGGCAGTCCTTCATGCAGCTAGAAATGTCAGTCAGACAGGCTGAGATACGAGCAGCTACTTGCCTCCCTATGACCTAGCACGTGCGCACTATATTGGACGTGTTTTTAGAAAGCGCACCAAAACAATATGTTCCATCTCCACTATGTTGGGCCAAAATTCGCTGTTGGAACTTGAAATTTGCATGAGTTTGTGTTTTGCATGAAGTGTGTTGGAACTGGGTTGGAAGTCTGCAAGAAGGTAGTCTTCGAGGAGCAGGGTTGGCTACCAATGTAGTGTTTGAAATGCAATACAAAAAATGAGTAAAGGAAGGTTGTACAATATTTGGCAGTACGTGATTTCAGATGCTAAAACACAAAATGTCCAGTGTTGACGGACCTGCAGGAACAAGATTGAAAACCACTATTTTTATTTGAAACATTATCCGGTATCCGCTTGTTTCAATAATGAATGTTCACTTGCTGTTCACTGTTGAATGTTCAACAGAATCATTCCCATGTTAGTAAATTCTCTCTTGTTCTCTTTTTTTGGTCACTATTCTCTAGATTTATCTTGACATTCAGCTGCACAAGGCGAACAGGAAGATCCTAAAGGCAGAGAAAAATCGACTTGAACAAAAAGAGATTGAACGGATTAACAAGGTGAAGTTAGTCATGTCATTTAGTTAATTGCAATTCATAGTTTAATCACGAGGCCTCACATCTCGTATCATTTTGTTTTTAGTCTTAAAGAATTTATCAGTGAATATTTATTCTCTTGTTTTTGCCTTTTGTTAAACATTACTGTTTTTGCTAAGTAAATTTTTTTTGCAAGGGCAAGCACCCCTTTTCCTAAAAAAAAAAAAAAAGTAAAAATCTTGTTTGAAATATTTGTTCTGTTCTAGGTCTACCGGGATGACACAGAACAGCACCTAGATGCTTTCCGAGTGACTTCTATTGCACATCTGGATGCTTTTCTATCATCGCTGCGTGAATGTGTCAGCACCTATGATGTTGAGATTTGTTCTGGAATCCAGCAGAACCTGAGTCGAATAGCTGAAGATCAGACTCGTCTACAAGAGGTTCACTCAGGCTTTGAGAGGCTTCTACAGGAGAATGACTCTTTCCAATTCATTAAGGTACATTTTACATATAAACACAATTTTAAGGCTGTTTCATTGTCTGGCTAAGGGTACGACAACAAGAACAATAGACTAAACATGGATAAGTTTTTCCTTTGTTTTACTCATACAGACGGCAATGCTGTCAAAAACTGTCCCCATTCACTCGGTGTTATGCATGCCAGACCAGTAGTTGGCAATGTCACACTTCACTGGTTTCTCAAATTCATGTTTTTGTAGACAATCTATCATCAGTGCTATCATTTTCAAAAACATGCACTTTAAACCCATTTTCAAAAGTTTGTGTTTTCATGCCCTCAAAACATTTGTCGTGTAAATAAATGGCCAGAAAGCATTAAAATGTTTTCCGTTTTTATTTGAAAATGGTTTTGTGTAAGCGGCCTCTTTAAGAGAGACGAATCCAGCAGTTTTACAAGTTGATGAGCAGGCTAAAGTTTGGTCACTTTGAAGCTTATTTTGGCCAAGAACTGGCCACTTAGACCGGAACCGCCTGAATGACATGGGATGTGTAAATAAAAAATATGTAAATGGATCTACAGAAAGTACTGAAATGATTTTGCTTTGATCACAAACACTACACAAAGTGGCTAAATTCTTCAAATCCCAAATATTTGATGCCACAAACTATGGCAAACCTAGTAATTGTTTTTTCCTCAAAAGCACACCTTGTAGAAACCTACACACTGGCTCTAATTTTATTTATCAATTTCCAAGGGTCTGTAAAGATCCTCCTTGGGGTCTGGGGATTGATATGGTATTCTCTTTAAAAGCATAATCTGCTGCTCTATATATGTTTCGAAATGTGTTTCCAAATATGGTACATTATTTGCATCATCTACACCAGAGTCCTGCATGGGTCCTGTTTGTTAAACCTTCACCCACAATATTTAACAGAACACCTGACCTGTTATCTGACGGCATCAGAATTTAATTCCGCACCCTACCCATGTGACATAAAGACCGCAACCTGATCCGCAAATCACTTCTACAGTCTTGTGTCTTGTGAAAACTCTTGTTATAGCCTAACCTGGCTACACTTCACCATGAATCTCTTATTTGCAGTGTGCCTACACTTTGTTTGTTATGAGACATTTTGCAAGGGTGCAGTCAATGAACAATCGCTGAACCATTGGATTAAACACCTCTGATTGGCCATTGCATTAATGCGCTCAAAAGTCTGTGAATAGGCTACAATGCTTTAAAGCATAAATACAAATATGCCTTTGAAAGCAGTATCAAAAATATCATTGGTTATTTGACTGGCAATGCCTATTAATTCCCGAAGTGCAACCGCACTGCAAATGGCGAGGTAGAAAATACTCTTTTCAAGTTCTTTATTAAACCGAGTGTCCCTTGTTTGGCAGTTTGAACAAAACTTACATTTGATCTTCATTTTGTGGTTTCTCTTTGGATTTCTTTCAGGATTACAATTTATCCATGAAAAGGTAAGACAAACTTTTGATTTGAGGTGCTTAATTCAAACATTTGCAGTGAGGGGCATTATTTTTGTCCACATGTTAATGTTTTTTTGTTTTGTTTTTTAACTGTGTGTCAGGTACCAGAGACAGTTAAAAAAACCTCTGTTTTTCCCTGATGAGCCAACAGTCGACACTGAGCCACTGTATGAAACAATGGAAGGAAAGATGGAGGAGTTCATTGCTGAATTGCGTCAGCATGGCAGCACATTCATCAGCACACTTTGTGAGTCTCAAGTGGTTTGTGTTAAATACGGGTAAACAGGCCCCAGAACTTATATCCAATCACTTATAGATGGTATGAAATGAGATTTCTAAATGCGTATTAGGCCTTTTTGCGAAGTACTCTTGCATGCATTTGTTTCATTTTCCTAAATTAAACAAATTTAGAAAATTCCCACCAGCTATCAGGGTTTAGTCTACAAGCATGCACATTTACATGCGTATGTGCATAGGTGTCTGTGTGAAAAAGATATGTTCCTACTTCCATTGCATAATGACTTTAAACTCCACAATAGGATATAATATTTTGTGATTGGATCCCTGAAACCATGTAGAATGTTTTTGACTACCTTCATATTGCTATCAATCCTAAATGTGTCCTGGACTGCGGTAATGTGCCGTTTTGCTAAACGTTATGGAGCGTATTGTGAGGAGGTGCACCAAACAAAAGGGATTCAAACTTCTCTGCGTTACCTGAATATTCGAATGTTGCAGTTGGCATCTGTATTTGTTTTGTTTAGCGCATTTAACATTCTCTTGTGAGTCATGCAACATGACTTCGTCCACTCATTCATATTAGTGTGGTTTCAGATGACAACGCAAATCTGATCGCAGATGGAAAGTAGAGTTATATAGTTTAAAAAAAAAATAATAATAATAATAAAAAGAAACTTCATTTTATTTCAGCCAGTTGCCGAGGCAACATTTCTCATTTTATTTAGTTTAACTTGTTCTAAAACTGAAATAAAACAAACTATATTGGCACATTTAAAATAATAATTATTTCCTAAAAATGACAAAAAATGACTAAAAATAAAATGAAAACAAAATATAAAAAACAGTTGTAAAATCTGAATGAAATATGAAAAATCATAATAGCATCTGTAACAGTTATACTAAAATAACACTGTTGGCCTAATGAGGTACAGAAAGTAAACTTGATAAAAGAATATTCTGTACAACAATATTGCCTTTTTTTTGTCTTTGTTTTTCAGTGAAAACACCCAGTCATGAACCTTATCAACATTTTGTTCTTGTATTTTTGTTGTTTATTTTTTGTAGGTATATGTGAAGGGGAAGATGGTGAGGAGGTGGATGATGATGATGAATATGAAGAAAGTTTTGATGATGATGATGATGAAAGTGATGCAGAAGGTGAGGAGATGAGGAGTGAGGAGGAGGAAGAGCCACTTTCCACTGAGTCTGAAGATGAAGAATATACCCCAGAAGAGGAAGAAGATGGTGAAAATGACTAGAAGAACGGCTGGATGAAGAGTTTGTGTAGCAAATGAGCCACCATTTCACCTGAAAGTGATGATGCAGTGAATTGGCATTTGAAGAGTGTGTGGACACATGTATTGAGAGTCAGTATTCATTCCTGTAATAAGATGTTTTGCTGAAATGTTTCTGTTATTTAAATTGAATATAAGATTTTTCATAAGATTACAAAAAATATAATTGACATGAAGTGACATGGTGTTTATATATTTATTAATATGGGTTGTGTTTAACCTGACTTTGTCTGTATAGATAATATTTTTTCTGTTATGTTTATATTATCTAGTTTCAAAACACAGGGTAACACATGTTAAAATGGATGTCAATTTGGGATGGGTTTAATTTTGCACTTATTTTCCAGTGATTTTGTGAGAAGAGGTGGTATGATGTATAATAAAAATGTATAATAAAATATAGTTTCATAATTTAAAAATCACCTGTTTTGTGGCTGAAACGCTAAACATAAATATGTATATGGTTATTTTTGTTTATATTATATTAGTTTATATTAGTATATTTAGTTTATATATTATTAGTTTATAAATATGTATATGGTTTATTTTAGTTTTGTATTTACTAAAATGAACTATGAGCAATACATTTGTTATAGTAATTATACATCTTTATTAATATAGAGTTAATAAAAATGCAGCTGTCCGTTGATTGGTAAGTTCACAATGGAGTAATTTTTACAAATAACTTTTGTAAAAAAAAATTTTTAAAAATGTATTAGTAAATGCTGAAATTAACATCAACTTCTGTAGAAGTTGTGTTAACTCTTAGTTCATGTTAACTAAAGTAGTTTGTAACCTTTATAAAAAATTAGTTTTATACAGTTTATAAGTTGTTCCTACCTTTTTTATGGATGAGCTGTAGCTGTAAAAGAAAATCATCATCAAATGTATCATGCATGAGACATCTTTTACAGTACAGGGGCGTATTACAGAAACTATCTATCTTAAGTCTTAAATAAAGTTTTGATAAGATTGATAGAAAAGGCAAATCCTAATCCTTTAATTTCATAATTATTTGTCAGAGTTTTGTTGTCACAGTGCAGGACATTTGGGTGTTCACAAAGTCCACCATCAAATATCGCTGTTCTTCATCTTCTATCATTCTCAGACAGGGCTGTGGGCTCTATGCACGGCGGTATTTCCGGTGAAGGTGTGTAAGGATGCTCGATAACTTCCGCTGATCTTAGAGTCAGTCCAATGACGTCACTTTGTAGGACAACCCAGAAGTAGGTATGAATCCCTCGGTAGAAATGCAATGCATTTTCCCCATAGATTTTTGGAAAATCGCAAAAAATAAGATCTGTGTTTAACAAAGGGTTGTGACCCTTACACGTTTTGTCTAGCAAGATAATCTTTACAAGTTAATCCAAAATTTATACATTTTGGAAAATTATATAAAGATTTTAAAAACACAAATCAGACACAATAAAGTTTAAAAAACCACAAGCAGGTTATACTGTATGTATGTTGTATGTTCAGTTCCAATATGTACTGTGATATTGTTTACAGTTGTGCACCGATCTACCCAAAGGGAGTTTACTGTATGTTTGTTGTAAATAAGGGTGTATTTTTTCTTTTGCTATGCAGAAGACTGCAGTAAAAAGGTATTGTATACTCAATTACTGTACCTCACTAAATACAATAATGTGAAACTTTACTGTAGTTTTCAAATGGCTGTGCAAATAGTTTATAGGACTGTCTTGAGCATTTTCAGGTAGTGTCACCAAGATCTGACTTTTTTGCATCAATGGGGTCAGTGACGTTTTAGAATTTCAAAACAGTAAAAAAATAAAAATTAAAGGACAAATTAAATATAACATTTTTTGTGTACATCAATGTGTATATTTTTTGTTTTTATTAGTGCCCTTTATAAAAAATAACAATATACGACATTTTAATGTGTTTCTTTGTATACAGTCCTTGAAAATGTCATACGGTAAAACGAAGTGATTTTTAGGAATAAATTAAATTTGATATTCATGACACAGTTAAAAACAACAATGAATGTAATAGTTGATCTGTAAGTATTATATAACAAGTTGCAAAATATAACCACCTACACCACTAGATATTTTGTTTTTTAACAACCACAGCATGTCATCTATGGACATTTGTTCTATTTTTTTGCAAGAAATTAGTCAAAAATGCCTTGAAGTTATATATATATGTATATCATACTCTCCTCCATTATTTTCATGAACCCTGTAAACAAACAAAGTATCTGTTTTTATTTCTTTTAAAATTCAATGTTTTACCATACGACATATTTTGTTTTACCGTAGTACAGTTTCAATGTTTCATTGCATTTTTAATGTAATAAATTGATGTAGGCCAATTCAAAATTATTTCAAAGAAACAGGCATCTCAAGTGAACCTTTTTTAACAGAATATATTTCCCAACACATGAACATTTCTTTTAGTCAACTCAACTCTCTTTCAGTACAAGGGACACATAGGACGTGCTATATCATATGTAAAACATGACAATATCAGTCAGATTTACAACAGTGAGATACACACACACACACACACGAATAATATATCTACAGTGGGGCCAAAAAGTATTTAGTCAGCCACTGATTGTGCAAGTTCTCCTAGTTAGAATGATGAGAGAGGTCTGTAATTTTCATCATAGGTACACTTCAACTATGAGAGACAAAATGAGAAAAAAAAAAAATCCAGGAAATCACATTAGGATTTTTAAAGAATTTCTTTGTAAATTATGGTGGAAAATAAGTATTTGGTCAATAACAAAAGTTCAATTCAATACTTTGTAACATAACCTTTGTTGGCAATGACAGAGGTCAAACGTTTCAGGTTTGCACACACTGTAGCTGGTGTTTACAGTGTTTACTTTTTTTCTCATTTTGTCTCTCATAGTTGAAGTGTTCCTATGATGAAAAATACAGACCTCTCTCAACATTCTAAGTAGGAGAACTTGCACAATCAGTGGCTGACTAAATACTCTTTGGCTCCACTGTATATAAAGCCACTTTCCAGAAACATTGTGATGCTGATGTTACGACCCTTGGCTCAAGGGAAGCAACAAAAACAAGGGACACACGCAAACCAAATTATAGGCTCAAAAATAATGTTTATTTAAATGATAAGACAAAACAGAATAATGAAATGAAAACCATTAAAGAAAATAAAAGTGTTTCTGTAGTAATCAGCAAAATCAATGTGTAGAGCACGGTACATGGTTGAAAGTGTAATGCAATGTTGAGGTTTGAAATGTGAATGCAAAAAGCAACAAAATACAACGCAAGCCAAACACCAAAGCAAAGTCCAAAACCCCTCCTTCCTTGGCTCAGATGGTGATCTTTTAAGCGTCTAAGGTCACAGGTGTTTCCATTGAGGCAATTAGGCCATTGGATGCAATTAGCGGGCTCAGGTACCAACAGCAACACTCAAGACCAACAGCAGGGGTCGTCACACCCCTCCCCATAAAGACAGGGACTCCCACAAAGATCCCTGTAACAGAACAAACAAATCTCAATAAATAGGCATAATATATTACTCAAGTTCAGGACCAAAGACAGCTCCCAATAACGCCAAAGGGAATGATACATTTGAATCCAATAGATTAAAATGCATCAGGAGCGCGTGACAGCGCATCAGCTACCACATTTTCCGACCCTCGTATGTGTCGAATATCCAGACAGAAGGATTGCAAAACAAGGACCACCGAACCAACCTCTGGTTCGGACACTGCAAAGAATTGAGAAAGATTAATGGGTTATGATCGGTGTATATCACAATAGGTGCACAGGCGTTAAGGTAAACCGCAAAATGCTGCAAGGCCCAAATCAGGGCTAACGCTTCCTTTTCGACCACAGAATAGTTACGTTGATACGAGTTAAACTTTCTCGAAAAAAAAACTAACTGGATGGTCTACTCCGTCCACATTCGACTTCTGAAGAACAGCTCCAGCCCCAACATTACTAGCATCAGCGTGCAACGTGAACGGTTCATCAAAGCACGGAGCCATAAGCACGGGCGCTGAACACAGCAGGGATTTTACATTCTCAAAAGCCAATTCGCAGCTGTAAGACCATAAAAACTTTGTCTTACCCTTTAACAAGTCTGTCAGTGGTGCTACCACAGTAGAGAAATTGTATAAAACGTTAAAAAAAATTGTAATAAGAAAAAACTATGGCCAATTCTTATAGGTGACGTCCCATTCAGTATCACCTCATATCAAACAATCTTATTGTAGCATTTTGAAGAAATGTCCCATCCCATTATTCGACTTTAGAGGGCCATAAATACCTTATTTCTAATAAGTAGAAAAAAATGTCAGTTCTTGTAGGGGACGTCCCATACAGTATACACACCTCATATCAAACAATTTTACTGCAGCATTTTGGAGTCACATTATTTGACTTCAGAAATACCTCTTTTCTAATACAGTTTTTCTCCGTCGCTTTGGTGCATTTATCACATGACTATTTACATTTGCACAACAGTTAATGCAGTTCTCAAAACAATTAGTACAAACTGCAAAACTTAGTTGATAACCTGCAAAAGTGTGTCACTTGCTCAAAATGGATTACTCATTCCTCAAAAGCAAGTATTCATATCATTGAAAGTGTCAGTGTGGTCAAGATGAAAAGTCCTAACACCAGTGTTTATGAACAAGATAGTCAAATGGCTTTGTCATGTTTTCATTATGACAGTTTACTCTGTAAGTGTTTGCCAAGTCAGTGACGTGCCGCACTGATTTGCACTTCCAGGAGCAATAAATGTTATATATTAATATAAAATAGGTTTAAAATTATATACATGTTTTAATCTCACATCATCTGTCCTCCTCACTGTTCTTAATTGTGTGAAATTTCAAAAATAGGTAATTTTTAGACTATTAATGTGGTCAAATGTCATACGGTCAAACGCAATTCACTTAAAGTTATTTAAGACAATTGTATTTAAAATTATGAATATTTAAAAATGATAAAATTTTTCATTTGGCATATTGTTTCAAGTCTTAAGATAAGCATATTAAAGTATCAGTAAGATAGTCCTTTCAGAAATGTCATTAGTATCTAAAACAAATTGTTCCGCAAAAACACATTTTCCCTATGTCATACGGTAAAACAAAGTTTAGAAGCCATTTTGGAACTGAATATTAATGATGACATCACTC